TATAGTTGCCTTATCTTTTTCCATAAATATGCATGTATAAACGTTATCGCTATTTCTTCACGCATGTATGCATTGATCTTTTAGTGACAATAAGACTTGGCCTCATTTCTTCTCAAGCAGTTCAGCCATTACTTCTTGATGCACAAAAGACATTCTTTTAAAATATTATGCATGCACACAAAATCAAAATGTTAGATTTTATTCCCCACCAGGATATTCAGAAAGGCCAATCAAATAATTTACTGGTGTTTGAGTAGTACCCATAATCTCCCAGAGTTGGTTTGATGAGACTCCTTATGTGAAATTCACAATTAAATCAAATTAGTGAGCTACGGGTCTTATCTATTCGTTGCAGGTTACCTTTTTTATCTATATAATATAATAAGACAGCATCCTAACAAACTCAGAGATTCATCGAGGTAAAAGTTCTTTTTCATATCAGTCTCAAATGTATAAATTTTCAAACTGTTTACATTTTACCTTGTCGTGAAATGGACGGATGTAATTCCAATATAACTTTTCAATGGCCCAGTTTCGGTTAAATTGCCCTTGATATCTTTCCTGGTGCATTTCAAGGTGATTAAGCAGTTCCGTACGTGATACTCGTGGTGGAGTGGTTACCACTTCGTAGAAGTTAACTACTCTTGACCAGTATCGCTAATAAAAAAAAGCAATATATAGTTCTTTATTAACAAATATGTTTTTTAAATCTAAAAAGGCATCACTATTATTTCAAGAAAACACTGGATCAATGGGAGGTGTCAAATCTTTCTTCAGGTTCTGCACGTGGCTCAATCTTATTTTCGTATTTTCAGCAGGGCGTAGACGAGCGCATTCAGTTCATATGATGATGGCCAGTGTCTGATTGTGGACTTGGTACATTTCCAGACGCTTCGCCGGCATCGTAAATGGGCCTTGTCATTTTTAGTACAATACTACGATTTTTCAGAGGCCAGTAAAGTCTATCCCTTTACTGAAGAATTTGGGCTTCTCTCCTATCTCGGAATATTCATCTATTCCACGCCCTTTAAGTGGATTTAGTGAAGTCTGCTCACACCAAATGTTGGTTTCCTTAATTGTGCTAGAAATTTTGATAAAATTAGCCTCTTTCAGTCTGCAATCTACGTAATCCAGGTCCTAGCAGGCTCTCCCTTTTGCTCTGTAAGATCAGTCCATTATCTTCCTGTTCTAGTGATTCACTAGATTACTACTACCATATCTATGTTCCTCGAGGCGTTAGTTTTCTTAATCTGCCTCAGTCATTTGATGCTACATAGTCTCGCCCCATCCAGGTCCCAAATGCCTGTATTCTCAAGCTGGATGATAAACTAATCCAATACTGGTTTCCCTCATCTCGATTTCGCCTGTGTAACGAGTTAATCTGATGGCTGGGCCTTTACTTCACGGAGCACGTCTATGATCGAACCCATGTACTGTGGGCTAACTTGGTCTTCATATCTTTAAGATTTATAATTTTTCGAAAACGCGAATATATCAAAAATAAATCCATATGCGAGCAAAAGTGAGTCTGCTTACCAAGAAATATGAGAAGAAAATACGCCATAGCCCTATTACAAGGAAATTGACCTAAAACTGCTTAAGCCTAAGCTATCAGCGTTACCACAGAAGTCGTGATTAAAATAATCTCTAGCTTATATAAAAGGTGCAAAAGCGCATTTTTCGTTCCAAAAAGCTAGTGTTAGTCCTCTTTAGTCGATTACTTACGCGGATTTCGCTAGCAAACAGGGTCTTATTGAAGGGTGAATCAGCGTGGATTGGGTCCGGGTGAGGGGCGCATGCGTATGCAACGGCCTGGCTGAAAGAATGTAAAGATCGCTCCAGATAATTATTTCGCGCGAGTGGGACATCCAGGACGTGATCTAGGTTCAGGATCAACTGGTTCCAAAAGCGTAATTGCAAACTAGTTTAAAAATAAAGTGATGTACATGATGATCAGTCATAGAAACACGTTTTGTTAGATCTGGTCATAATACAGAAACTAGACTTATTCAGGCTGGTAAAAAAAAGCTGTCTTAATAATAGTTAGAAAATAGGTCCTTATGACTGGAAGGGCTTTAAAATGGTTTATTTACTGTCATAGTTCGCTATGTACGTGGAGCTACGCAGTCTACTTAGCTATTCAATAAATCCTTAGTTGATAACTATCCGTCATCATCTGGAATTGCCTAAAGACGCTTGTTCCAAGAAAAATTTTAAGGCTGGCCTTACGCGAAAAATATACACTTGCTAAATATCTCACTCTTCCTTCTCATTGTGGGCAAAGGATCAAAGCTAGTCAGGCCGCTGCTATAATTCACAAGTGTTCTTCATTTATGATCCCTATTAGTGCTATTTTAATAACTATTTCATCCATGGTGAAAATATCCTTTTCTCAATAAGCTATGTAGTGAGGATGATGTCGGGATTAACACAATGGTTGAGAATTGAAATCAAGTTTATCTTTGAATATGTTTTCATAAGCATCATCTCATCACAAAGTTGCTAGGGTTAAGAAAAATGGTTTAAAATTAATTTTGTAGGCAAGATAGATTTAATGCAAGGGCTTCTAAGTTTAAGAATGGTGTGTCCACAAAGGGCGCTTCAGTGCTGTGGAGTATAAAATTAGCCATCAGTAGTAAAAGCATAGAATAAAATGTCATTTTTTGAAAGCGAGAATGAGACTTAGCTTACCAGTTGGACTTCCACGAGTGGAGGATATTCTGATCTGAGATTTGAAATTCACTCGCTTTGTCAGCAAGAAATTCAAAAAGGTATTTGACGGCATAGAAGAAGCAGAATTTGTGCATTTGCGGGTTGAATAAAGCGTACATAAGTTTGTCCATTTGAGGCATTACGGAAAGCTGAAATGGGTCACAAAGAATAAAGCACTATAGAGAATACAAGAATGTTAAAATGGATGCGAGAGCAAGACTGTCGTCTGCAGCTTGTTTAACTCCTTATACGAATAAACAAACAAAATCTACTCAGCCCTGTATAAAAATATTCGCAAAAAAATTATATTAGTAAATGAGTTAAAAACTGTACCATATGTTTAAAGCTTAACTCAAGCGGAAGTCCTGTATACAGGAGTA